CCGGCTAGTTTTTAAAAATTTCTTATAGAGGCAAAGTTTCACCAAGTTGCTTGGGCTGGTCTCAAACCTGCGGACTCAGGCAATCCACTTACCTTGGCCTCCCAAAGTGCTGGGATTGTATAGGTTGAGTCACTAAGCCCAGCCAGCAGGCTTTTTAAAAAGTAGAAATTGGCCAGGCATGGTGGTTTACCCTTGTAATCCTAGCACTTTGGAAGCCCGAGGTGAGAGGATTACTTGAGCCCAGGAGTTTGAGATCAGCCTGGACAACATTGTGAGACCTCATTGCTGCAAAGAAATCAAAAAATTAGGCACAAACCTATAGTCCCTGCTACTTGTGAGGCTGAGGTGGAAGGATCACCTGAGCCCAGGAGGTCGAGGCTGCAGAGAGCTGTGATCATACCACTGCACTTAAGCCTGGATGAGAGTGAGACCCCAATTCAAAAAATAAAAAATAAATGTAAAAAGGAAAAGTAGAAATTGACAAGGTAATTCCAAGATTTATATAAAAATGCAAATAACCTAACAAGCCAAAAAAAAAAAACAACCTTTAAAATAAAGAAAAAAATTAGAGAACTTATACTACCTGGTTTCAAGAGAAATAGACTGACACTTATACAATCAATTTAATTTTTGAGCAAAGCACAAAGGCATTTCAGTGGGGAAAAGGAAAGCGTTTTCTAAAAAATGGTGTTGGCAATAAAAAAAAAGACACTGACCCAATCTCAAAGAGGCCAGAACTGAAGAGCTACATTGTTGGAATTGAGAGGAGGAAGCATGTTTCTTTTCGGCTCTTTCTAGAACTCTCATTATAGCCAACGCTGGGAATAAAGGTAGGAAACAATAGAACTCATAAGATTTAGTAATGATAATAAATCTTAGAGCCTGTCTCAAAAATGAAAAAATAAATGTGCTGGAACAACTCTTATCTGAATGCAAAAAATAAAACAAAGCAAACACACAAACAAACCTTGACCCATCTCTCACACTATCATGAAAATTAATTATCAGTAGATTATAGACCTAAATCTAAGCGCTAATAATTATAAAGCTTCTAGAAGACAAAGGAGACTATCTCTGTGACTTTGAATAGCAAAGATTTCTTAGCTAGTACCCAGAAAGCACCACAAATAAAAAGTTAATAAAAATGGACTTTGCCTTAGTCCATTTTCTCTTGCTAAAACTTAAGACCCAAGACTGTAATCTATAAAAAAAAAGAAATGTATTTCTTACAGTTCTGGAGGCTGGAAAGGTTAAGGTTGAGGGACCACATCTGACAAGGGCTTTCTTACTGTTTCATAACATAGTAGAGGACATCGTGTGATGAGAGGGCATGAGCACATCCATTTAGATCTCTCTTCCTTTCCTTTTAAAGCCACCATCTTAATTAGGGCCCCACCTCTAAATACCATCAACCTAAGAATTTGCAGATGAGATTTGGGGGACACATTCAAACCATAACAGACATCATCAAATTTTAAAATGTTTGTTCATCATGAGACCCATTAAGAAAATGAGTAGGCAAGACACAGACCAGGAATAAACATTTACAATACATAACTGACAAAGGATTTGTACCCAGAATCCCAGAATATTAAAAAATGCTCCTATAAATCTATAATAAAAAGACCAAAGACCTAATAAAAAAATGGGAAAATGGGGTACATGTGGTGACCTATGCCTGTCATCCTAGCATGTTGGGAGGTCAAGGGGGGAGAACTGGAGTTTGGGGCCATCCTAGGCAACATAGCAAGACCTCATTTCTACAAAAAAATAAAAAATAAACTGAGCATGGTAGCACACGCCTGTGGTCTCAGCTACACAGAAGTCTGAGGTGGAAGGATTGCCTGAACCCAGGAGGTGGAGTTTGTGGTAAGCCCTAATTGTGCCACTGCATTCCAGCCTGGAAAAGAGTAAGATCCCAAAGATCCCAACTCAACAAAAATGAGAGAGAGAGAAAAGAAGAAGAAGAAGAGGAGGAGGAGGAGGAGGAGGAGGAGGAGGAAGGAAGGAGGAGGAGAGGAGAGAGGAGACTTAAACAGGTACTTCACAAAGAAAGATCTGTAGCAAGCAATAAGCACATGAAAAAGAGCTCAAAATCATTAGCCATCAGGCAAATGTAAAGCAAAAACACGATGAAATACCACTATACCCTTCCTAGAATGGATAAAATCTAAAACATTAATTACACCAAATGTCGGTGAAGATGTGAAGCAACAAGAACTCTCATAGCTTGTTGGTGGGAGTGTAAAATGTACAATCACTCTGTAAGTCAGTCCGACAGTTTCTCATTAAGTGTATACCATCCTGTGACCCAGTCATTCAAGTTCTCTTAGGTTTTACCCAAGAGAAATGGAAACATATACACAAAAAGACTTGTACAAGAATGTTCTTAGCACCTTTATTCATACTATTCTAAAACCGGAAACAACCTTAATGGTTCAAAAGGAAAATGGATAAACAAATAACTGAAGACCGCTTTTCAATAAAATGGAACAAACAATTGATACACACAACAGCACGAGCGAACCTCAAAAACATCACGTTGAGTGGAAAAGTCAGACACAATAGAGTACATATAATAAAATTTCACTCCTGTGAATGTCTAGAATTGGGAAAACTAATCACAGTCCTTCTGGACTAGGAAGGGAATGAGGGAATTTTTTGAGGATCTCTGATATCTTGATAGAGATGTGGATTATATGGGCATGTGTAATCATCAAAACTCATTGCTCTGTATACTTAAGATCTGTGCATTTCAATAAATGTAATTATACCTCAATTGCAAAAAAGACACCTACATGTGATTGTTCATTGCAACACAATTCACAATTGCAAAGATGCAAAATCAACCTAAATGCCCATCAGCTGAGCAGTGATCATGAAAATATGGTGCATGTATACCATGGACTATTCAGCCATTAAAAAAAAAAAAAAATTCATAAGCCGGGCTCGGTGGCTCAGCGGTAATCCCGCGCCTTTGGGAGGCTGAGGTGAGTGGATCGCCTGAGCCCGCGGGTTCGAGACCCGCCTGGGCAGTGAGACCTCATCTCTACAATAAATCAAAAAATCAGCCGGGCGTGGTAGCACATGCCTGTAATTCCGGCTACTCGGAAGGCTGAGGCAGAAGGATCGCCGGAGCCCAGCAGGTCGAGGCTGCGGTGGCCGGGAACAGCCACTGCACTCCAGTCTGGGTGACAGAGTGAGATTCCAACTCAAAAAAAAAAAAAAAAATTCATTAATGGGTTTTTTTGGCAACGACTTGGATGGAACTGGAGAATATCATCCCAGGTGAACTAACGCAGGGACAGAAAACCAAACACCTGCATGTTCTCATTTATAAGTGGGTGCTAAACCAAGGATCTGTAGAGGCATAGAGAATGGTATAAACGGACGCTGGAGACTCAGAAAGGGGCGGATAGGAAGGAGGAGAGGGATGAAAAATCGCCTCTTGGGTATAGTGTGCACAGGGGCAGGTGATGGGGACACTTAAAGCCCAGACTTCTTTGCTACCATACAATGCATCCATGTAATCCAAAACTATTTGTACCCCCAAAAGCTAATGAAATAAAAAATATATATCTCTCGATTAGAAAAAAAAAGTTTTGAGATGCAAATTGAAAAACAATTATTAAACTATTTTGACAAAACAAGCCCAGTAAAGTCTGGTTTTAAGGAAAAGCAAAATCAACCTGGGGCCTGTTGACACTGAAGACTTTGTAATTAGAACAAAGGAGGAAGAGGACAAGGGGATAACCATCAGGGCCGTCATTTATTGATGGCTTGCTAGGAACGCTGCTAACTACTTCATGCATGTCCTCATTTCATTCCCACAACCATCTTTCAGATCTACGAGGAATGGGATGCTTTAATAAACTAATCCTGCCTGCCATCCTTAGCAAATACTTATAAACTCAAGATACCAAGGCATTTACCATTTCAGACAAGTAGTGGATCTCTCTCTCTCTCTCTCTCTCTCTCTCTCCCCCTCCCTCCCTCTCTCTGTCTCTCTCTCTCTCTCTCTCTCTCTCTCTCTCCCCCTCCCTCCCTCTCTCTGTCTCTGAGTCAGGGTCTTACTCTTTCACCCAAGCTGGAGTGCAGTGGCATGGTCATGGCTCACAGCAGCTTCAACTTCCTGGGCTCAGGTGATCCTTTCATCTCAGCCTCCCAAGTAGCTGGGACTATAGGTGCATGCCACCACGCCCGCTGATTTTTTTGTAGAGACAAGGTTTTGCTATGTTGCCTAAGCTGGTCTCAAACTCCTGGGTTCAAGCAATCCACCCGCCTTGGCCTCCCAAGGTTCTAGGATGACAGGCGTGAGCCACCAATGGCGCCTGGCCAATCTCTTTTTAAATCTACTATTATCGCTCACAAATATGAACCATGGGGAACCCATTGATATTTTTGGTTTCAGCAAAATATGTACTGCGGTCCATGACCACAATTCTTAAACATCTTAATTTAGCGAAACTCATATTTCTAGATTCTTTGCCCCTCCCAATGTACACTGGGGAATAGAAAGTGTGATTTGCCTAATAAATATTTTATTCACACTAGCTGCTAAAATGAATCGAGCACAACTTCTCTGCCAATTCAACTAGTCGTAAGAAGGTGACCCGCCAGGCGCGGTGGCTCAAGCCTGTAATCCCAGCACTTTGGGAGGTCGAGGCAGGAGGATTGCCTGAGCTCAGGGGTTCAAGACCAGCCTGGGCAACTTGGTGAGACCTCATCTCTACAGTAAACCGAAAAATAAGGTGGGTGTGGTATCACGTGCCTATAGTTTTGACTACTTGGAAGGCTGAGGTGGAAGGACCACCTGAGCTCAGCAGGTGGAGGCTGCAGTGGTCATGAGCGTGTCACTCTGCACTCCAGCCTGGGTGACAGAGTGAGACTCCAACTCAAAAACTAAAAATAAAAAGATTACCTGCCCTAGGCCCCTGCTTACACTGCAGGTCGTCTTAAAAGAGGGTTACAAGAAGGGGAAAGGGCAAGATGGTCCTTACCACATCCAATATAGCATGGACAAATAGGTCCAGGTTGACCAGGGTGGCCTCGCTCCAGTCACGCACTGGTCTCACTTCCTTGTGATATTTCTGTAACAGCTGTTTGGTGAGATGATGCAGAGCAGAATTCCTGGGCTGAGGTGTACCTGTGGCAAGAATTCCTGAAAAAGAAAACTATCACTGTGAAGATAAAAATAAGAGGATCTTGGCCGGGTGCAGTGGCTCATGCCTGTTAATCCCAGCACTTTGAGAGGCCGAGGCTGGAAGATCCTTGAGCCCAGGAGTTTGAGACCAGACTGGGCAATATAGCGATATCTTGTCTCTATGAAAAACAAAAATAAAAATAAAATTAGGCCAGGTGTGGTGGCTCACACCTGTAAGCCCAGCACTTTGGAGACAGAGGCGAGAGGATTGCTTGAGCCCAGGAGTTTGAGACCAGCCAGGGCAATATAGCAAGATCTTGTCTCTATGAAAAACAAAAATAAAAATAAAATTAGGCTAGGTGTGGTGGCACACGCCTGTAATCCCAGCATTTTGGGAGGCAGAGGCAAAAGAATTACCTAAGCTCAGAGTTTCAAGACCAGCCTAAGCAACATGGCGAGACCTTGTCTCTACAATAAATCAAAAAATCAGTGAGCATGGTGGCACATGCCTATGGTTCCAGCTACTTGGAAGGCTGAGGCTGACGGACTGCCTGAGCCCAGTAGACCAAGGATGCAGTGGCCAGGAGTGTGTCACTGCACTCCAGCCTGGGTGACAGAGTGAGACTCTGACTCAAAAAATAAAAATAAAATAAAATATTATTGCAACATTGTTCACAATAGCAAGAACATGGAACCAACCATGCTGCCCATCAAAAGAGGACTGGATTAAAAAAATGTGGTACATATACGCAATGGAATACTACACAGCCATAAAGAAGAACAAAATCATGAACTTCGCAGCAACCTGGATGGACTTAGAGTCTATAATACTGAGTGATCTCTCACAGAAGCAAAGAGCTGAGTATTGCATGTTCTCACTCATAAATGGACCTTGAACAATTATGGTACTACTATAAGAAAAGGATTGAAAGTGGTGGGAAACTGTGGGGAGGGGGGTGTGAGGGTGGGGAGGTGGGATTGACAGGAGTCGATATCTGCCTGGGGAAGGTGGGCACATCTCATCGATAAGGGTACCTGCATGGTGAATATTTATATACCTCGCCCTGAATTGTACCCCACAATTTTAAATAAAAACTAAAAGAGGAAATAAAATAAAATAAGCCAGGTGTGATGGTATAGTCCTATATTCCCAGCTCCTCAGGTGGCTGAGGTAGAAGGATCACCTGAGCTCAGGAGGTAGAAACTGTGGTGAACTGTGATCATGCCACCGCACTCCAGTCTGGGTGACAGAGTGTAACTCCCTCAAAAAAAAAGGGGGGGGGACGAAAAAAGAAAATAAAGAGATACTTAGCATCTTTAGGAGAGTTCAGACTATTCAGGACTTGGTGGCTCTTAAGTAGAATATAGTTTCCAACTCACCCCCATCTGCATAAATTCATAGCCAGCTAGTGGGTCTTTGGCAGACACTTGTTTTAAAGTAAGCTGATGCTCTAAGTGTCCAGTGGAAAAACCTCATTGTAAACATAAATCAGTCCCATCTCCAAGGTTGTAAACTGCACTCCAATTCCATTTTACAGCAATCATGCATCTTGGAGACAGAATCTTTTCTTTATTCCTGTACCACCCCCTCCTGGCATACAGAAGAAACCTAACTGTACACTTAGCCAACACAACTCCTACCTTGGTTTTTATTTTGACTTTTTAAAATTTGTAATTCAACAATCGAACAGAAAACGCAAGCAGAAACATAGACAAACCAGTGAACCCAAAGACTTGTATGGATTTCTAGATAATGAGATCTCAATTCACACTTTGCTCCTCAAAAATTTCTTTTCTCCCTTTGTCTGTTTTTAAATAAAACGCACTTGTCAGAAAATGAGATCTTTATTTTGGGAAAATTCTCTCTGGATCCAGGGAACAACCATTTCTTCTGATCCCCTCCCTCCACCCCCCACCAAATCTTGATTTGAGGGGAGCTGTATTTGTAGGAGAGGCCAGGGAAAAGGAAGCAAGAGAAATGGGCACCAGCAATTGGAAGTGACAAATTTGCGAGGGCTTTCTCTGAATTGCAAAAAGATATTTTGTTCACAAGCTTTGCCAGCCCTTAGGGGATTCAAAGCTTCACTAAGTCATTGGACTGAAGCAAATTGCACACCTCCTGACACAGCGCGTGAGTGAAATCCATCTGTGGTGTCCTGCGTGTGAATTCGCCTGGGCTCTCAGTGGTTTTGATGGTTATTTTGATGAGCTGCTGAAGGTATGAGGGATCCAGCAGGAAACTGTAAATGAGATCGCTTCTCCCTGCGCGACAATCCTGTTTATACCCATTTCTTTATGAATGATGTCATGTCACTTGCCCACAGGCAGCAATTTCTATGATTTAACAATGTCAGTGTGCCCAAAATGTTAACAACGATGCTGGAGGTGCAATGTCAGACACCTTGTGGGCAATGCAATAGTCACTTTCATTCCCATCAGAGCTGGGACTCTAACGAGCATTTTAACTCCCTCACTATTCACCCAAGAAGATGCCGAAAATGGCGTTAGCTATTCAGGCGTGCAGGACGAAGGTGGGTGGCTTGCATCCGGCATCATTTGCAGAGTTTTTGTGAACCATTATTGTCAAAAAGTGTGCTGTGAATCTCTCTACCTAAGAATGTTTCTCGCTGCTTTACCCAAAGGGAGGGAAGTCAGGAACATAAAGCTAAGCTGGACCTGGTGTTTTCCTGCAAACTTTGCTTTGGGCAGCTTTACTTTTACCTCACTTGAAAGCTCCCAATTCAAGTCTCAGTTGGGGAAACACCAAAATGGGTGTGTTTCAATACAGGAAACGACCTAAGACCACATTAAAACATAATTCTGAGAAATGACTGTGCTCTTTGTACCCACTGCTCATAAAGACTCAAGTTCCCCTCTGCTATCTTTTCTAGGAGACAATCCATAGGTTCCCTGTGGATAAACATGTGTTTTCTGGAATATGTCAAAATCTTTGGTCAAAAGGAGAAAGTCTTTGGAAGCTAGGACAAAGAACAAAAGAGAAATCAGCAAAGAAGGGAGAAAATGATAAGCAAACGGAAATGTGCTTAAATAAACCAAAAAGAGGAAGAGATGGGAAGAAATAATAAATTACATTTCTACTATGAATGCAAATTTGCCTGAGGAGAAAGATCAATTACAGGAGAGAGATTAAGGATTTAAGTGACCATTAATTAACAGTAAATTATGCCCCTTGAAAGCTAATGTGACATTCACACAAGCACTAAATGACTCACAGTTCAGTGATGTTTCAACAGACACTGATGGAAGCTATCAACAGACCCAGAAAAGATTCCTTGCCAACACTGCCTCCTTGAATGCTAATAATCAGCTTCCATTAATTCACTTGTAAGATTTCTGGAAAGTAAAGATGTGTTAGGGACTGAGCACTTGTAGGTGAAGAGAGTTTTAAAAAGAAGATAAGAATACAATATGATTATTCCTTTGTTTTCCTTGTTTGAATGAGTTATTCTCTTACATGCACTTACTTATAGTGTTTGGAGCACTTTAATGAAAAGTGCTACTCATGCTGTAGTTAGTATGTATCTTTAGGATAAAAAGAAAGTTATACATATATGTGAGAGGTCAGAGGGAAATAGAGATTTAGGTACTGAATTCCCAACACTAACTGGATGCTTACTGTATGTCAGGCACTAGGCTAAACCCTTCTCATGAAGACTCTTTAATGTTCACAATGACCTTGTAAGATAGATACTCTACAGTCCTATGAGGAATGCACTATTTTTTTTTTTTCCAGTCAGGGTCTCACTCTGTCACCCAGGTTGAAGTGCAGTGGCATGTTCATGACGATCACGGCTCACAGCAGCCTCGACCTCCCAGGTTCAGAAGATCCTTCCACCTCAACATCCTGAATAACTGGGACTACAGGTGCGTGCCACCACACTTGGCTAATTTTTTTTTCTTTTCTTTTTCTTCTTTTTTATTTTTTGTAGAGACAATGTTTTGCTGTGTTGCCCAGGCTGGTCTCCAACTCCTGGGCTCAAGCCATCTTCCAACCTCAGTCTCTCAAAGTGCTTAGGACTACAAATGTGGCTCACGCCTGAATTCCCCAACACTTTGGAGGCGGAGGTGAGAGGATTGCTTGAGTCCAGGGGTTCGAGACCAGCCTGGACAACTTGGTGAGACCTCATCTCTACAAAAAAATCAAAAAATTAGCTGGACGTGGTGGTGTGCTACTTGGAAGGCTGAGGCATGAAGGATCGTCTGAGCCCAGTAGGTTGAGGCTGCAGTGGCTGTAAGCTACCACGGCACTCCAGCCTGGGCGACAGAATGAGACTCTGATTAAAAAAAAAAAAGTGTGAGCCACTGCGCCTGGCCCAGGAGGGCACTATTTTACGCAGGTGAGGAACTACAGGCACAGTGAGGTTAGTATGGCCCAAGGTCACACATCTTGCTAATGAAGAGGCTACAATTTAAACACAGCTGGTCTGGGTTCAAAGTCCAAGCTCTTCATCATGACACTAAACTGACCTGGCTCCCTGAGAATATCAGGAACAGCAGGGAGTAACCCTTCAAAAGGAAGACTGACTTACTGTGTGGGGTACATTATTGGGCAGAAACAACCAGTGTTATTTTCTCTGGGTGTGTGTTTTCAGGTTAATAATATCTTACATTTGTGTTGCACCTTACAATTCCACAAGGCTATCGTATTTGATTTTCACGAATACTCAAAATGAACGGTTACATGCCTGTAATCCCAGCACTTTGGGAATAAATTGCTTGAGCCCAGGAGGTTGAAACCAGCCTATGCAATGTAGCGAGACCTCACCTCTACAAAAACATTTTTTTTTAATTAGCTGGGCACAGTGGCGTGTGCCCGTAGTCCTAACTACTCGGGAGGTTGAAGCAGAAGGATCATCTGAGCCCAAGAGGTTGAGGCTCCAGTGAGCCGTGATTGTGTCGCTGCATTCCTGCTTGGGTGAAGAGTGAGATGTCGACTTTCAAAATTAATTAATTGATTGATTTTTTAAAAAATAAACAATTGGCCAGACTTGGTGGCAAGCCTATAATTTCAGCACTTTGGGATGCTGAGGCAAGTGGATTGCCTGAGCCTGCGGGTTCAAGACCAATCCAGGCAACTTAGCAAGACTTCATCTTTACGAAAAAAAAAATTAGGTAGACATGGTAGCACGCGCCTGTAGTTCTGGCTACTTGGAAGGCTGAGGTGGAAGGATTACTTGAGCCCAGCAGGTCGACGCTGGGGTGGCCGTGAGTGTATCACTGCACTCCAACCTAGGCAACAGAGTGAGACTCCAACTCAAAAAAAAATTAAAAATTAAAAATTAAACAATTAACCTACGGGGAAATTGAGTCTCTAAGAGATCAAAGGGCTTGCTCGGGGTCATATGGCTGGTGAGTAGTGTGAAGCAGGGTCTAGAAGGTTCTCCAAGTTCAGGCCTCCTTCTGCCTCAACACATGGCCTCCTGGGAGCAGCCGTGTCTTGGTGGTTGGTTCAGTGCTCTTATATTTACAAATCATCCTGGTTTGTAAATAGAGTAAAATTTGTAAATAAAGTAAAACTCAGTAAAATTCCAAAAGGCATATTTTTTCTGTAACAAATGTCTTCAGTGTGATTTATGGTGAAGCACTGGTTATTAGACGCTATTAAAACACTTTTTCTGCTACATTTAGAACAAAAATCATGCATAATACAAAACATTAGAAAGAGATATCATTAAGAATTTCTTCTGTGTCTTTACCTTCATTTTTCTATTTTATCTTAGTTTAATGTTCACAATTATTTTCTGCTAAGAAACCCATTTGGCATTTAATGAAATTTCCTCTGTTTTTATTTTTATAATTAAGATATGCTTTTATCCTTTACGTTCAACATTCAGGATTTTTATACTTTAATGATAAGTGGCTATTTTTCTTCTCTACCCAATAAAAAAATCATTTTCAGCTTCCTGGCTACCAAATTTCTAACTCATCTCTGTAATTGACTCATTCTGCTTCCAGTTATATTTTAAAACTTGAGAATTCAGAAACAAGCTCTAGGAGAACCCTCAAGGAAGTGGGGTATTGGGAAACACCAGCATAACCATAAATTCTTGATTTGTACACACTTACTAAGAATGAATTGTATCCTAACTAAAATGGTGTGATTCAGTAGAGTTAATACTGGCACTATCAAAGTATAGTTCCAGAAATTTAGAAAAAAAACATTAGTTTCTGAAGTGTTTTTAAGAGGAATTACATGCTCAAAATCTGCAAGTTTATACAGGTCCTTAGAAATATAATTATCACCTATATAGATGTGGTAATGCTGGATGATAAAACCTCTACCAAAATGATATACCCATGTCCGTTGCTGTGACAAATCCAAGAGACTTTTTCTCTGGGCTGTTAAAAGCTCATAGTGAAGTCAAAACTATTTTGGATAATACCAATATATTATTCACACATAAAAGCAAATTTGAAAAGGAATGCCCCAAACTCTCAATGTAAGGTGCTGCAAAGAGCTTGATTTCTAGAGAAGAAGAAATGTATCAAGCAATTATAACATCTCAGAGCATATTTTCAGCTATGTGTAAAAAGTTTGTTTGATGCTATCTGTATGTATATCTGCAATTTCAGGAATAAATCACAAATCTCCACGTACCTTCACAGGACTGGCATTTTACAGGTGACAAATAAAAACAAATACTCAGGTATTCTATAGCACGGTGTATAAAAATAGTGTCTCTAGCTTCAAAATTAACACTCAGTGCCTAATAAAATCGCTAAGTGGACTCACCTGAGATGGCCACCAGGATACAGGGCCACAGAGGAGCCATCACACTTGCCAATGTTTCTGGGCAGGTCCCAAAGAGGAAAAATGCAAACTTGCCTACCAGATGGAAGGCCGCTCAATTCTTCCTAAAAAATGTTCTCCGCTCCGTCCTTCTCTGTTTGCCAGCTTGCACTATCCTTACAGGTGCTATTTGGTAAACACTCAGTAGGACCAAAAGCAAAGCCAGCACCGTGCATACGTTTTGGAACTGATGCCATCACGAAATCCCTGAACGTCTCCTTTTGGTTCTGCCGCAAGATCAGATCATGGCCAACATTTCCATTTCCCTGACAGGAGATAGCTAAGTGAATAATGTAATCTAAGAGGAGTCCCTAAGGAGAGGAAATTCCACACTAATATGATTTCCTTTACAGCCTTTACCTAAGGCAATGCTCTTGCTGACATTCAGGACACTAATTTCATTAATAATTGAAATCCAAATAGCTGTTCTAAATCAGACTTATGCAGTAACGTCTTCAGCATTTGACAATGGTTATCAGATGCTTGAATTACACAAAGCTAATGGAAACTCAGTATTGTCTCATGAAGAACAACTGCAAACAATACAATGGGAAAAGTGCTTTCTGTTTTTCCTAAGCCCCTTTAATTAAAAGAAACATTGATTTTTGATAAATAGGAGTGCTTCTTAAATCTTCATTGACCACAATTCTGAAAGTAACTACCTAAGAAAGGATGCTTCTAGGCTTATTGAAGATGAAAACTATTTAACATCATTTAACAAAAGTTTTCTTTTTAAACTTTTTGATTGAATACCCATTCATTCTTCATTATTAAGGAAAAATATGCATAATTCTATATAATAATCCTGTGTCATTTGGTAGACTCCCCCCCATATGATCTAGAAACAAAAATCAAATACCATTTCTAACATCTGCCTGCTTCTTATTGTAAATGAGACTCTAGAGGCACAGTTTGAGATAAATTTTCACAGAGCAAAATGAGGGGGAAGTATGTATGTGTGTATGTATATATATATATATATATACATTTTTTTTTTTTTTTTGAGTTGGAGTCTCACTATGTCATCCAGGCTGGAGTGCAATGGCATGCTCACAGCCACTACAGCCTCGACCTGCTGAGTTCAGACGATCCTTCTGCCTCAGCCCTCCAAGTAGCTGGAACTACAGGTGTGCACCACCACGCCCAGTTAAATTTTTTTATTTATTGTAGAGGCAAGGTCTTGCCAAATTGCCCAGGCTGGTCTCGAACCCCTGGACTCAGGCAATTCCCTCACCATCACCTCCCAAACTGGGATTACAGGTGTGAGCCATCGTGCCTGACTAGTGCTTTTATTTAGAATTCACAAAGTTCACCTAATTTTCACCTACCAATAAAAGTAGCGTAACTACTTTCCTACTGTTGGTGAAGGGAGTTATAAATATAGAAAGGGAATAAAACAGGCCCAGCCGGGCTCTGTGGCTCAGCCTGTAATCCCGTGCCTTTGGGAGGCTGAGGTGAGTGGATTGCCTGAGCCCGCGGGTTTGAGACCCACCTGGGCAATTTGGCGAGACCTCATCTCTACAATAAATCAAAAAATTAGCCGGGTGTGGTAGCGCACTCCGGTAGTTCCAGCAACTCGGAAAGCTGAGGCGGAAGGATCACCGGAGCCCAGCAGGTCGAGGCTGCGGTGGCTGGGAGTGTGCCACTGCCCTCCAGCCTGGGCGACAGAGTGAGACTCCAACTCAAAAAAAAGAATAATAAATAAATAAATAAATAAAATGGGCCTAATTCTGTGGTTGAGTTGGTTTTGGAGGTATCAGTATGAACCTGTGGTTTTCAGAACTTATAGCTAAATATAGAAATAAATACAAATATGGCCAGGCACAGTGGCTCACACCTATAATTCCAGCATTTTGGGAGGCTGAAGCAAGAAGATTCCTTGAGCTTAGGGGTTCAAGATCAGTCTGAGCAACTTGGCAAGACCTTCTCTCTTCAATCAATAAAAAAAATTAGCCAGACATGGTGGTGCACACTTGTAGTTCCAGCTGCTTGGAAGGCTGAGGTGGAAGGATTGCCTGAGCCCAGCCTGTTGAGGCTGTGGTAGCCATAATTGGGCTACTGTACTTCAGCCTGGGTGACAGAGTGAGACTCTGACAAAATAAAAAGAAAGTAAGGAAAGAAAGAAGGGGGGAGAGAGGAAGAAGGAAGGAAGGAACGAGGGAGGGAGGGGGGAGAGAGAGAGAGAGAGAGAGAGAGAGAGAGAGAAAGAAAGAGAGAAAGAGAGAAAGAAAAGATGTAAATGTTTGCGTACACATGTTCATACATACATATATTCCCTAGTTCTTCCACTAGAGGGCCTGGAAGTGTGACACCCCAATAGTGATGAGCACACCTGGCACCCATACCTTAGATTCTAAGTACCATATTCACCTAAAAGTAAGAAATGGAGAAATGACTGATACCAGAGGTGAGCAAGAGTATAAGAAGAGCCTAGAACATCTTGTCGTACCAGAAAGTAAAGTACCACTGACCAAATCTAGGACAATCTGAGCATCAGAATCAATAAAATGAAGATCATGACAAATTATAACTCACCAAATAACAATAATAATCTATGAATTTCACTACCCTAAGTACACCCTATAAGTGAATCATGCAGTATGTGTCATATTTGTCCTTGACTGCCTTATTTCACTTGGTATAATGTCCTCAAGATTTAAATAAATGCATTTAAATGGGAAGAAGAGAAACTTTTCCTTAAAAATTAGAATGTCAACAGGCTGGGCATGGTGGTTTATGCCTGTAATCCCAGCACTTTGAGAGGCCAAGGCAGGAGAATTGCTTGAGCCCAGGAGTTCAAGACCAGCCTGGGCAACACAGGGAGACCTTCTCTCTCTCTCTCTCTCTCTCCCTCTCTCTCTCTCTCTCTCTCTCTCTCTCTCTCTCCCTCTCTCTCTCTCGCTCTCTCTCTCTCTCTCTCTCTCTCTCTCTCTCTCTCTCTCTCGCTCTCTCTCTCTCTCGCTCTCTCTCTCTCTCAAAAAAGAATGCCAGCTAATAAATGTTAAGGGGATGATAGACTCTTCCTAATAATAATTGATTCATACAAGAAATATCATGGATGCTAAATCTAGTTGGTGAAAGTTTGTTGAGAAACAGGACATTTATATAAAATGCTATATAAAATACTTATTATTTTTAGTTAGTCTCACTCTGTCTCCCAGGCTGGAGTGCAGTGGCGCTCTCATAGCCACTCCAGCATCGACCTGCTGGACTTTGGCGATCCTTCCACCTCAGCCTTCCAAGTAGCCAGAACTACAGGTGCATACTACCACGCCCAGCCAATTTTGGATTTTTCATGGAGATGAGCTCTCACCAAGTTGCCCAGTCTGGTCTCAAACCCACAGACTCAGGCAATCTACATGCCTTGGCCTCCCAAAGTGCTGGGATTACAGGCTGAACCACTGAGCCCGAAAATACTTATTAATTACAAATATTTTTAAAAAATCTTTTCTGTGGTGAGGACTGGAAAGCAATATCTTAATCAAATAATGAAAGTTAGCATCGACAGGAATGGAAATTGTATACCTTCAGATAGGATAAATTGAGAAAAAACAGCAGCAATTCTGGTATAATCCTGTCAAACATTTGTAACTTGAACCTATTCAAGAGGAAACAACAAACACCCTCAGACTGTGAAACATTCAGAATAGCAGGGCATGTAACCTTCAAAAGTGTCAAGGTTACAAAAATTAAGGAAAGACTGAGGAACTGTATCTAACTTAAGGAGGCTAAAAGACATGATAACAGTGCAACATGTGATTCCGGATTGGTTCCTTCTCTTATAGAGAACATTTTGGGGAGAATTGGTGAAACTCGAATGAGGTATATGGGTTAGATTGTAGTAATGTAGCGATGTTGATGTTCTGATTTTGATTTTATTGATATTATGCAAAAGAATGCTCTTGTTTGTAAGACCAACAGGCTAAGTATTCAAGGATGAATGCACTTCATGTTGCTAACTTACACTCAGATGGCTGGAGGGATAGAGGGGGGGAGTTCTTTCTACTGTTCTTCAGATTCTGCAGTACATTTGAAAATATTTAGAAGAAAAAGAAATTTAGGCCAGACGCAGTGGCACATGCTTATAATCCCAGCACTTTGGGAGGCTGAGGTGAGAGAATTGCCTGAGTCTGTGGGTTTGAGCCCAGCCCAGGCAACTTGGTGAGACCTCATCTCTACCATAAGTCAAAAAAATTAGCTGGGCATGGTAGCACTCACCTGTAGTTCGGTGGAAAGCTGAGGTGGAAGGATTGCCTGAGCCCAGTAGGTCGAGACTGCAGTGGCCATGAGAATGCCACTGCACTCCAGCCTGGGCGACAGAGTGAGACTACAACTCAAAAAAAAAAAAAGAAGAAGAAAGACATTTGAACGCAACCTGGTGGAGGAACTTTGATATACAGTTATGGAAAGTTTATCTGAGAAATGCTCTGTAGAGAAGGTGAGCAGATAAATGGAGCTTCATCAGGAAATGAAATCAGTGAGAATTGATCTGGCTCTCAAAGGCTCAGCACTTTCCATCAGTTCTTAGAATTATCAGTTACTTATGAGATGAATTGTGACAAGGGAAGGCAAGCTACAGGCAACATAGCTACATAAGTAGCATTTTAGGGAGGGAAAGGGTAGCAGAAACTTCTCTTTGTACAAAGGTTTAATTAAGGTGATGATTGACATTGCAATTCTTGCCACACAGTTTAGTAAGCTATGACTCTAAGCCAAACCTTCTGGGACATGCCTCCCTTCCTTTTCTTCCTACTTTCTCATATGCCCATCTGTTACTGGAAGGCCATTGCTAATGATGTGTAATATAGGTACATTATGACCTTCATTAGCTAACTTCACAACAGTCTGGTGATCCTGCCATTACAGCTCTTTATTGTCTGATGAATTCTGCCAAGATGGGGATGGTTTTGTGTGAGTGACTTGTCTTCAAGGTTATTTGTATACAGATGCTTCCTGATCTTTCCTTGATAGCCCTTCTCTGTACTGTCA